AGCGGTGGTCTCGAAGGCAGCTCCCTGATCGGTACGGCGCGAAGATCGTTATCGCGGGAAGTGGATGAGTCTCGGACTGTCAGATCTTGTTGCGATCTAGTCAACGAAGAAGAGGAGAAGGAGCAGGAGGAGGAGGAGGAGGAGATAGCACAGCAAATAAGAGAGAAGGAGAAACAGCGGCAAGTCTCGAAGACGCCACCGAGTTCTATCGTCAGACCCGCTTTATCCTCCGATCGACTTGGAGAATTCCTCGCGAGGACCAAATCGCTGCTAATTCGCCCGGCACGCTTCCCTAAGCTCGCGAGATGTGGCGGCTGTCGATAGTGATCGGTATGGTTGCGATCGCGAGGGCTGGACCGTACGACAGGATGATGGTCTCAATGAACGATAGAACATTATTCATCAGAAGCCTACCCGGTTATCCTGGGACCAGAAGCGATCTTTACGAGGTCTACATGGAACCGTATTATTTCGTACGTATTTGTTTTTTTGCTTTTTTTTTTTTTTTGTTATTTAATCAATTGATATTCCGATATTAATTACTGAAAATCGATATCGTTTCCGATTATGTATTTTATATTTAATTACACATGAGTTTATATATATAATTTGAAAGAATTTACTAGTTTTATATAATTATTGAAAATATAAGAAATAAATATAAAAATTCGATATTTTAATCGCTATTTCTGTTAATCGTCGAAATTTCATGATGAATCTATAATCGATATAATTTGATATCTATAAATAGAAAATTACAATGAAAAAGATATTATAATGTCATTGGGGGGACAATGCCATCATAAAGCTATAATACAAAGGAATATTCGCAGTTTTTACTTTTTCATTTTTGAAAGAAAGTTTTAAGCAATCAATCTCTAGAGTCTTAATTATACTTTAAAGTTCTTGATTTCGATCGGATAATTACCGATCCATCTTTTCACCTTACATCATTTCAAGTCTCGCGCGAATCTTTTCATGACCTGAAATGGATTATGTAATCTCGTCAGATATCAATGAAAATGTTCATCCTTTCACTTCTCCCTTTAGCGAACATTACAATTATTTCGTATTTCGCTGTTTATTGATATTAATATAAATTATTGATCTTCAACTTGACAGTATGTATAAAATTTTTGGTGTACCGTTACTATTTATTACTATTTCAATGTTTTCAGTAATCGATATCGCGTCATACTTATAGCCTTGCGTGCTAATGATATAATAACCGTTACAAGCATCATATCTTCAAATGTCATTGAAGTAATAATTATTTAACATTACTTGCAAAATAATACATCAAAATTATATCTATTTTATTATGAATATCTACATATGCAGACATATATATATCACAGAGTTGCATCAACTTTTAACTTTTATGTCAATATACTAGATATATATGCTATCAGACGTATATATATTTTCATTTCACTCACAAATTAACGATAAGAAAATGTGAGTGATCAATTTGAAAACAAACAACAATATGCATATTCTATCATTGTTATCTTTATAGACACTTTTGTGAATATTAATTGATAAAAAAATATACGGTTTCCTTTAATCTTGTCAAGCGATACATCGTTTTAAACTACTCTATATTACTCTTTTCGTGTACTTATTATCGCGTAATTATTTTATCTTATTATTTCTCTTCATGTACTTGTAATGTAAACATTTCTACGCGCGTGACTTCTCTAGGATACCGAGACGAACGTGGCGATACACTTCGTCGGTCCATACATATCCACCTCGCGCGCGCTTTGTATTATTAGTCATTAACCACATAGCGCATCATTAATACACGGAAATTTCCATAATTAGCCATTAAGTTATTTAAACATCACGTCGAGGACGTCGAGTAACGCGGGTCGCCCCGTCGACGCTTTCACTGCGACCGTTCATGCAATTCTAACAAAGTCGCACGGCGATTCCCTTCGGTCCGATCTTGCGCGTAGTTTCTACTAGCCGTTTCATCGTCGTGCAGATTATACCCTGTAGCCGCGCACGGTAATTGCTTCACCCGTGAACCGTACAACTTCGTCTAAAAAAAAAAACAAAAAATAAATAAAAACGCGTCCATGGGAGTCGCGCGAGGTAAAGTCGCGGCGCGACTAATGCGATTCAGGAGATAGATTAAATTAGACGGGAAGTTCATGCGAGTACTTTATAGTGTATCACTCGATACGCGGACGTGTTATTATCAATTTCCGCTCTACGTGTTCCTGCGGGAACACTTGGCTCGCTGCATTCATGGATTAATCGAGCTGTAACAAATTGCTTCCGTAGATCCTGTTGCGTAGATTTTTTGTTCCGCGAACTTGCGAGTCCATGGATTCTCGATAGCTCTTGAGATTGATAAAAAAATTTAATTGTTGAGATCGACAAAGAAATATTTGAAAAACATAATATACTCCGTATACAAACGTTTATAATTTTTTATTTATCTCTGTTTTTAATGATGCCTGTCTAAATATAGGTCCAGTAAATAAAATCGAATTTACATTGACTTAATATACCAAAATGACATGCAAATAAATGCGATACTTTTTTAAAATGTGTCTGAAGGCAATCGGTCTGAAGGCCGTGGTGGAGCTGAAAGCTCTCGGTGAGGATGGTACGCCACTAAATGGACCCCGAGGGATCCTAACGTTAGAACAGCATCCCGAAGGGGTGAAGGTCACGGGCACGATCACGGGATTAAACCCGGGCTTGCACGGATTCCACGTGCACGAAAAAGGGGATCTGACGAAGGGCTGCAATTCCGCTGGCCCGCATTTCAATCCGTACATGGTAATAGCATCACATTGCAATTTTAATTATGTGCTTTGCATTCAAAATATAAATAAATAATCTATTTAGCCATTTCTGAAAATATAGCAATGTACATACGAGATGCAAGTTTCATATTAGAAAGCTTATTATTATGTTTTATCAATTACATATTGTTTAATTGTTTTATAAAATTAAAAATTTTCAAGAATAATGAAAAATTTTGCAAATTGTGCGAAATATTTCCAGGATAGCATCATGAAAAATTCATTCGGATTATTTTCTCTCGCAGTTACCGCTTTTGCAGCAATATGCGGTAACAGGATGAGATTTGCATTCGTAAACGAAGGGTTGCACGAAAGTGGCTGACCTACTTTCTTAAGACCTCGAAGAGAAATTAATTTGAAAATATCGGAGATATAAAATTTGCAGATATTTTTAATTTTCTCAAATACTTGAAAAAGAAGAACTAAATTATCTCGTCGTTTCATCGAACTCTCCAAGATGCAAATACAACGCGATTAGCGCAAAATTGATAGCCTCGCACCACGCGGATTGAGCCGTCGCGATAACGTATTATAACTCTTTCCATTCTATTACGGTAAACGAAGAGCGATTACGTTTCAGGTGAATCACGGAGCACCGAGCGATCCGTTGCGTCACGTCGGCGATCTCGGTAATATCGAGGTCGGGCAGGACGGAGTGGCGCGTATCAATGGCATAGATCACTACTTGAGCCTAGTGGGTGTTCGTGGGGCGATCGGTAGGGCTTTGGTGATCCACGAGAAACCCGACGATCTCGGTCGCGGCGGTACCGAGGAGAGTCTCAAGACCGGGTCAGCGGGTGCCCGTGTTGCTTGCGGTGTCATCGGATTTTTGTAAAGGAACTTTTTTAAACAATGCATAATCGAATTTGATTATTGCATGCATTGTTCACTAAAGGCTGTCGTACTTAAAATTTACGTAAAATGATACTGCGTAGTACGCGGCATCTTCGGTAATAATAATAATGTACTTGTATAGTGAACGAGACGATATATTTCTTGTTGAAAATTAAAATCTCTTTTCTGCTCTCCAAAATTTAGCTATATCTTTTTCATTGTTCTATAAATGTATAAACATTTTGTGAAACTCTCTTTCTATATTTCAGATATCGAAAACCTTTTAAAATAAACTATTATATGTATATTTTATTTTTTGATATTTCTTCTTGTTAGCTAAATTTGTGTATAAATTTGTAAATCATACTAGTGCGCATTTTAATACATTCAGTTCACTAAAAGAAATATCGCCTACTGCCATTTCACTATTAATTTAATTGCGTCCATTTGTACTGATCAATAAATTACAAATATAACCGAGAGTGTGTATCGAACACACACATATATTCTTATTTAACCTTTCTCTAGATAAATTACATGGTCCGAGTTTTTCATTACAATGAAATTTGGGAAACTTGAAAAATGAAGCCATTGCCAGCGTATATCAACGTATGGTTAATCAAGAATTGAAAAAAAATTCAACTCGGAAATCGGACCGAGTTTTATCGCAAAATGAGATTTTATTGTTTTATAATTTTTATCGCCAATATACATTTTTCGATAAAATAAAAATTCGACAATATAATATAACCATACACAATGCACGATCGTATATTAAAAATTTAATCAATGATTTTTAATAAGAATTCCAAATTTCTCGATCTTTTAAGCCTCGTACGCGTCAGTTTATTTCTATACGCACACACAATTATTACACAACTAGGACGTAACTTAAATATCCCAATAAGGGAAAAGAAGAAAAGTAACATTATAAAACGAAACGTTGAATATTTTACATAGATAAATCGTTCACTTCTATCGAGAATCCACAAATACGAGAAGTCCAAAGTATTAATGAACTCTAGAGAATCCAAGTTCAAAAGACCCGAAGTCGCTGAAGCTGTGCGATTCGAGGACTCGTCCTCGTTGTTTATTCCAGGGACCTAGATGCATCCCCGCGCATCTTCTCGACCGCCAACGGTCCCACTGGCTCGCCCATCTCCTCTAGGGCTCGCAACATTTTGGTAACCACTTCCGGCGGCGAAGTCCTCCTCGTGCCTGGTGCATCCGGTCGATGCTGGAGGTCGTTGTGCCACGGTTGCCACGGTAGCGCGAACGTTCGCGGCTGGAAATGAACTGCAAGGACGTTGAACTCTCCGTTTGAATGCTCTATATTTCGCCGTAACTTTAAACTATGCCAGGGGATTGCGATATCGATCGATTCTACCCCGGATTGCGCCGCGGAACCGAGAACGAGCAAAGTCGGTCAATGATTTGTGTTGTTTCGAGGAATAATCGACCGCGAAATCTCATTTCGTCACGATACATTTTACAACGTTGTGAACTGTGATAAGTATATCTCGGCAATGTCTTGACACAGTAATTTATCTCTCCAGATATTCTATGATTATATTTTTATTCTATGATTGTATTTTTTCAAATTATATCTACAAAAGTAATTTTATGTGTATATATATATTCTTATAAATTATATATAAAAAATTAATTAAATGATCACTTTGCGCTGTCGATCTCCTTTTACTACGCGGTACAATAACTCCCTTTTTCGCTACTACCAATTTACAATCAAGGAGAATGCATTTCTCGAAACCGCGGCGCAAAGACTACTGTATTAGGCTTATAACGCTACATTACTAGGAACATCCTGGACATCGTAATCCGGTATATCATCCAAGTCTTCGATATCGTGGTTATTGCGACCGCATCTAATGACAAACTGTACGCAATCGATGATCAGCTTTTTTGATGACCTCCACATAATCATACGCGAACATTTTGTTGGATGGATCGTCACGAGGTATGGGTTACATTGTCACGAATTGTCGTGATTTCGCCTCACGTTAATATTGACAGAAATGGTTAAGCACAAGTTTACATTGAAGTTCGTCACGCGGGTAACAAAAGCGAACTCTTAAAGCAGTTTACTATAATGTACAATCGCTTTTAAATGCAATAATTAATGGAACATTGATTGCTTTTATCAATATTTTTTATTCAGAAAGTCCTCGTAATACTTAATTCATGCAGAAAAAGTTTTATTAATCTAGTTTAATCAAATAGTTTGTAATGCTATCGCCATTGACAATCTCAATATGAAATAAGTGTAATTTGTACCATTGTGATTTTATATCATGCATACTCATGATCATAATTTGTGATTTGACTTTTTTCATGAAAACGTGCACAATTAATACTATTTATTGTTACATTGGATTCACACAAATTGATAGAGATTAGAAGATTATATTAAATAAATCATGATTGAAAACTAAGTTAATTTTTATAGTAACTAAAGGAAATTCGATTTTATTGTTTGAAGAGAGAGAACCAGTTTTATACATTTTTCCATATTGTCGTCATTTTTTCATATTGTTATCATTTTTTCAAATATTCATTTTGGATGTATACTTTCTAAAACCGAATAATTAAAATATTGGAATGCCTGTCTCAATGTATACTATACTTAAATCTGTGAGTAAATAAATATCCACATCATATCTTGAAATTTAGCATCAATTCATCCATATCAATGGACAGTTTTTTATAGATACATCTTTATAAAATTAACTGGATAATGACCGCGATATACCTTAAAGTAGAAAAATTTGGTTTTCTCTTCTTAAGATAGAAAAATTTGTATGTAATCTTGTGAAGAATATAAAGTTACTATCGCCTGCCTCTCCCTCTACCTCGGCCACCCCTGCCGCCTCTACCACCCCTAGCGCCACGTCCTCTGCCACGTGCCGCACCTGCAAATACAAGTAATACGATTAATAATTTTTAAAAAAATGAGAAAATTTTTACAATTGCAAAAAATCTCTAAACAAGTATTTTGTGTCAGATAATATATAAAATTATAATTGTTAATTAATGTTTTATGTTCAGTATATATTATATATTTTATATACCTCTTGCAGCTTCTTTCTTCTTAGCCTTAGCTTTCGGTGTGTCATCTATCAGCAATGTTTCCAAGGGAAGAGAATCCGGCAGAATGTAATACCTAATATTGTTTCCTCGCAGACTCAGAGTTTCCAATTGTATCGGGTCACGGTTCTTTATCGTCATTTTTACTGTTTTCAAATGTGTGTTCATTGCCACATCTACACCTGTAATAGAATAAAATTTAATTTATGATTAATAAACTTTTCCAATAACAATAACCCTCCTTCATATGTATTAAAGTTTCATAATTATATATTGAACTATTACACATTAATCTTGTAAGTCCTAACCTAACTTAATATCCAAGTCAGTAATAACAAATTCTTTATTGACGTACCTGTAATTGTACCGGTAACTTGGGTTCCATTTTTCAGTTCTATTGTCACAGTCTCGTGACTGAGTTTCATCAAAAATCTGGAAAAAGCATTAAAAGGCATTAATCTTTTGACAAATAATGTTTTTGCACGAAAGTGTTGGACGTTTAGGTTATGTTGTACAAAGAAACACATGTGTTTTTCACAGATAAATCATTATGTGCTTGAGCGATTTAATTTTCTTATAATATCTCCTTTAATTTTGCATTTTTTGATGTGTTTTACATACCTTACTAGCTTCATGATAAGGCTAGTGTGATATAATTAATTATAGATACTAGCGAGTATCCCGCGCCCGGCACTTTTGATCAATGAGTTTAAATGGAGGACTCAAATAAACTTGAACATTTTCTCGTCATCATAGATGGCAGTAAACCACGCATCATCTCGAAAATAAGTTATTTATTTTTCATAAAGATTATCCATTATTCTTATGTATTTTTGCATATAAATAGTACTCTATAAAAATTATATATAAAATATTATACCATCGAGAAAAATATCCCTTCTTTATTAATTAAAATAAAATTACAAATCCACTATAAATCTTTTAATAAGAAATAATAGAATCTATATTAGAGAATATTAGAAAAAGATATTTGTTGAGATTTTCGTCAAATTATATATTTAAATAATGTAAAATTTTATATATATATATAAAATTCCAATCTCT